GAAAACCTATTAAGACCATTTCCCTTGGAAAACATCAGTTGAATATTTTAGATCTAGACGGTCTGCGAGCAATGTTGGACAGGAAGGCCAAGGTACAGAAGGTGGCGGCACTACTGTATACGCACTGCATTGAGCCTGACAAGGAAAGGGTGTCTCGAACCGGGAGTGTGCTGCCCACCCAGTCGCTCAGACACAAGGCCACACGCGACCTGTTGACTTGGACAAGGGAGCTTGCAGGAGCACGTTACTTTACTCATGCTCTCGTGAGAGATAGTTTGGAGTACGTTGCAAAGGCGTATGCCTTGGAGTTGCCAGCTGTACCGGGGTTCAGTGTGAGATCGTGGGCGCAAGATGAAGCAGCTGTGATCCATCCCATCCTCAAACGATCCCGAAAATCAACCGCTTGTGAACTTTCTGAACCAGCCGCCCCTGATCCCGAAGCCATGGCTGATGACGCAGAGACTCAGCAGTGGAGTTGCTATGATGTTGATCCCTTTGAGGACTGGGACTGACAAGATATTCAGAATTGGAGCTTTTAATTTGTGTTCTGGTGTAACTTTGGCAGGACTTTTCAAGCTGTGTTGAAAAGGGGCCGCAGCAGCTCCGACACGGCCGCTTGGATGGGGTCCAATGTTTTGCTTAAATCTACATCGTGGGTACATTGTAGTGCTTCTGTGAGTATTCATGACCTAGTTGCCGGATGAGATCCACCCTGCAAAGCGGCTGCGTGGGAAACAGCGCCTTAGATCTGCAAGTATTGTCACCCCAGAAACATATAAGGACATGAGTATCCCAGCTATTTGAAATATACTGTCCCTGTCCTGCCCACATCCAAGGCCGAGCTTCATCTGCGTTCCCCCGACCGAGGCTTCTTGGCGAATGTGTATCTAGATACAAAGCCGGAATTAGTAAAAGCCACTGTGGATTTTGCAGCAGCTGAGGCTAGCCAGCCCGAGATGCCCAAAGACGCACCCTGCAAGAACTTGGAATTTCAGTGTTTGATTTATAGAAGGGTTATTCGAGCATGCTTGACTTTCAGGGTTTGTTCAAACGTTTGGCCTGTTAGTTTTCTCTCACTCTTATTATATAGCGCAATGAAGATCTGAGGTTTCTGATGAGCCGGCAGATGATCTCCCAAGTGCGTAGGACAATTGGCTGCTGTAAACCATGTTGGGCTGTAAACCATGTTGGACTGTGTTTGCAAAGATTCTCTCATGATCACGCAAACAAACCAAGGATGGACCCGATGATTGGCAAGCCAATGCTGATAATGCTTCCATTGATTGCCGACATGATGGGCAAGACTATGCCAACCAGGCATGTGAACCTCATGGGGAAGACTATTGGCAGGGTGAGCAGTATGCCGGGCATGCTCCTGACAACGCCGCTGTGTGAGTTGTTGGGGAGCGGGCTGAACTTGTGACCTTGCAATTTGACAATTCTCAATATCTGTGTCAGAATGAAGACTTGTGGTATTTCAGGAATGGGATGGTCAGATGCGCGCCGAAGATGAACATGGAACGGAAATGGATGATCCAAGTGTAACTTGGGAAAACTTGAAGCGCGGAATTCTGTGGCTGTCTTACAAGTTTGAACTGCAAGTGTCTAAGGCTACGTGTCGGTGGTTTGATGGAGATCATTGGCACTGTTCTGAACCTCCCGAGGTGCAGGGCGATTTACAGGGTAAATGTTCTTGAATGTTTGTAGCTTCAGTGATATTGGTCATCTGCCAGGTTGGTGAGGAAACTATGACTGAAGATATGGTTGAGGAAGACAACATGCAGCAGCATGAGAGTCATGGAATCTTTACTCATATCCAGTTTACAGCACAAACCTGCTTGTTGTGAAATGTCTTAGTTATAAGTGGGTTTATATCTATGTCTATCTAAGGTGGAATGTCGATCTATGGTATCGATGACCCCGCTTGTGCCAACGAAGGTGCCTTGGCGTAATTGGTTGTATTGGGTTTGTTGTTGTACTGCGCAGTGTGTGCGTGGGGCATGTTCAGGTCCCGAAGAGGTTGGAGACTGGGCCAACCCGGCTCAGGAATGGGGTGATGGAAGTGGCCAAGACCAGGCCGAGGAGCAAGAAGGCTGGGAGGAGGACGCTGTCAATGATAGTGTTGCTGAGGTTGGCAAGCCATCGGAGGAGGAAGTGTTGGAGGAGGAAGCGTGGGAGGAGGAAGCGGGGGATGAGGAAGTGGGGGATGAGGAAGTGGGGGATGAGAATGAGGCATGGGAGCAGGAGGCATGGGAGGAGGACAATGCGCAACCAGCCCAGCTGGATCAATGGCCTGCTGACGGAGACACTGATGATCATGGGCCAGCAGGGGTGGATGGGTCTGCGGATGAAGTCTGGCCTGGCGCAGAAGGTTCCTTGTTTCATATATCAAAAATTAGCGCTGTGTTTTTGGGGTGCGAGTTGTATTCTTTCATGAATTTCTGTTGTAAGGCGCCAAAGATGGCGAGCAGGACGAGAATGAGCAATGGGCGAACTTTATGTTGCATGGGGACTTTGAGTCTGTGATAGCTTCAGAGAAGCCTGAGATTGCGGCCCCCAAGAATCCCCCAGTCCCAGAGCCCAAGGTGTCGACGACTGATACAACCCCACCCTCGACCCCAGTTGCCAAAATTCCCGGCACGAAAGCCTCCCCAAAATCCTCTACTCCGCTTCCGCTGCCCAGAAAGAAGAAGTGCGAGGCTGGGGTGGCCAAATGCAACGAGGAGAAAGAGCTTGACCCAGAAGAGGTAAAGCGTTATGATTTATGGTGGTCGAAGTACAAAGTAAAAAAAGATCACC